AGAGAATTCATTCGAATAATTGATTCTCTTATCTGTCTGTTAAAAATGTCACTGGAACCAACAGATGGTTAGCTTAGCCTAGCATAGTGACTTAAAGGGGACCTATCATGCAAAATGCACTTTTGTACGTCTTTTATACATGAATATGTGTCCCCGGTGTTCCAGGGAACTCACCAAGTGTCAGAAAACACAACCCTCTCTATTTTCCTAAAAAAAAAACTAAATATCAACAATATCCTTGGTAAAAACACAAGATATTAAATGTTAATGAATGAGCTTGATAGGTGATTGTAGGCCCATTTTTGTCTTCCCTTGTAAACAGGTTAAACTAACTTAACCAGCTGCTGGGTTCATCTACTTTACGGACATGAGAGGGGTATAAATCTCTCTTCCTCTCATCTACCTCTCGCCAGAAAGCAAATAAACGTATCTCCCAAAATGTTAAACTATTCCTTTTATGTAAATGAATAGAGACCAAAGACAATGTGCTTCTTTTTGATTTGAGAAAATGCTTAGACCTGTGTAAAAAATAAAAACACGATAACTTAGTAGTGTCTTTATCGATCTGAAAGTCTAAAAACACCTCCTAAATATTTGTGATTTTGTATATGAAGAGCTTTCACTTTAATTTGGCTGTATATTGTATTCACTCCACACCTTGGCATTTTTTCCCCCCATTTCCTTTATCTCTGTAGAGTGATGATGACGATGATAGTGAGGTAGGGGGGTGACTTTGTGTGCAAACATGTGCATGGGAACTTTCTGTGGTGACTAACATTCAACCAGACTGTGCTGAAGTAACTTTAAACAATAACTGGTACATTGTTTGAGACTAACAAAAGGCCAGTCATCATTCATAAGACTGACAGGTTCTGTGTGTGTTTAACCTACAATGAATGAAGAAGCTTGAAGGTTTTGACAAGGAAAGAAAAGGAGGTATTCGCATGGTGTCGCAGGTACTTCCTTATGGAAATGAATGGACTATTTTGTGGGTGTCACAGAATAAACAGCAATATCACTAGTTCTTCTTATCTGAGGATAGAAAAACTGCTGTGTCATGATGCTGTCTGACATGTTTGGTATTTATAGCTTTTCAGTGTGGTTTTTCCCAAAAACTAAAAGTGAGCATTGGAATGAGATATGCAAACACCTTGTAATAAAATGTCTGATTGTAGTAATCCTGTGTCCTCACCCTACAGAGTGGTAAATTCAGCGGGGCCCCATCAGAGGCACAGGAGAGCCAGCCTCAGGGGATCCAGTATGCTGAGGATGCAGCCGAACATGAGAACATGAAGGCCGTACTGAAGAGTGGCTTGCAGGGCGGAGAGAGCCCCACGTCCACGGTGCCAGGCCTCCGCACGCGCACCAGAGCCAGCGGCACCCGAGGTCAGTCAGAGAAACACCGTTACAGCCCCTACAGTACATAGCTTTCATCATATCATCATCATTCAGTATTCCTCTGTGGCCAGGAATTTCAGTGATACTTCAGTAATCCAGCCTGTAACCTTTAAGCTAATCTTTCACTAGGCGGGGTATTTTTAGCTACGCTAGCAGCATGCCTCTAGGGATGGCATTGTCCCTCTGTATGTCCATCAGGCTGAAATATCTTTCTTATATTTTCTTATCTTTTTAGCCTTACATAAACATACAACTTTCCTGATCCTTCATACTGAGTTTATCAGACAGTGAGCATTCAATGGACGACTAGTTCACATCTGAGCTATTGCTCTTAACCCCAGGGTTTCACTTAGGGACCGTCAATGATCTACCGTTTGAGTCACACAAAACAAATGTTATTGTTAATACCATCTTTCCCATATTTAGTTTGTTTATATTTATAAAGTTGTAGTAAATTACGCGTGGAAAAAAACGTAGTTGTATCTTATAATAAATGTGATTCAAAAGTTTTAAGTTCCATTTCTTTACAATAGCTCATTTGTCCCGTTGACTCCATCCATACTAGATAGTATTTCTAAACTGGACTAATAAGACACTCCTTATTATTGGATTTTAGGCCATCTCTCATTTACATGAAAATCTTCAAATGTTATATTTAAAATTCTTGGAGACTCAGAAAAAAACTTTTTTCAATAACTACATTTTTAATTTTAAATATATTCATAGACAATAGTAAAAGCCTGGAAATTCAATAAAAAGAGGTGTACTACTTGACCGGTATAGTCATATAATACTGCATTAATTTGGAGTCATTGGGTCAAAGGGCATGAAAGCTATTGACGAGAAATCTGACGTAAAAGTACTCTGGTTTCTAAACACCTGACCTATCATCCCTTCCGACCTTCCAGTTTCAGGGCGTGTGGCCCCATGGTGCTCTGCCAGTGACGACCCGGTGAACGGCACAGATGATACGGCTGATGAGATCATGGAGAGGATTGTGAGGTCAGCCACTCAGGGTCCCAGCCAGCGGACGCAACCTCGGGAGAGGAGGCGATCCCGAGTCAACCGAAAATCATGTGAGTCATCCCAAATATTACCCAATTGGCATCCTTTATTTTCATGTACAGAGAAATGCAATGGGCTGCCGTGCAAACATTTTAACAATCCTCTTTTCTCTGTCTGCACAGTGAGAAGGACACTTAAGAACGGCTTGACTACAGAGGAGGCCAACGCTCTGGGCTTGTCCAGTGGTTCAGAGATGCAGGTGTGAGATGGACAAAAGGCCGTGCGGAAGCCCTTTCACTGCCCCTCCATTGCCTACATCCAACCTGGCAACCCACTCCTTGACCTTATCTGTATGCGTTTTAGTTCACATAGGCTTGTCACAAGTGCTTCCTGGAGAGATTGGATAAAAGCTTTTATTCATGAACTGACGGTCAGAGAGCGGAGTGCTGTATCCAAACCACTAAGCTTTGCTATTGCTGGATCAACATCGATGACGTGCACTCATTCAGCCTAATCACAGTCATCCTTCCAAAAGGACAGCACCCTCGCTAAAGGGTGTTTTTTAAGGCTGAGGGCATCAAAAGAGCTGCGTGTGCTTTCGATCTCAGTGGCCTTGACTGAATCCAAAGAGCAGGAAGTGTGGTACGGACACTAAATTCTCCTTGAGTTTAGTGTCAGCCCTGCAGCTTTAGGGACAAACTAAAAGACATTTAATCTGTTGAAGAGATGGCTTTGTGCTGAGGGTTATATACTACTGTGGTAGTTTTGTGTTTCTTTTTTATTTTGCTCAAGAAGGTGCTCAAATAAGGAACAATTGCACTGGATGTAAAAGTTGGGTATCAATGGAATGTGAAATCCTTGACACTGATGAACCACTGACATCGGAAATAATACTCAACAGTTAAACCAGCAAATCTACAGTAGCACAGTTTTGTCTAATCCAAGTGACTGGATCGGAAGGAATTTATCAGAGAAACTTCCTTTTAAAGATCGTATTCAACAGTTAAGGTGAGACTCGTGATTCCACTCGTCTCAGTCTAATGCTCATCAATAGTTTTAGCTAAAAAAAAATGTGGACATGTCACATCATGTGACCTATTCTCTCTGACGGACTGAACAGTTTAAGCAAGGCGAGTGCAGTGTTACAAGGAAGCAATCTTCAGTTATATAGTTTTATTTTCTAGAAACTATGAGCTGCACATCTCAGAGTGCCTTTCAGAGACAGTTATTTATTAAAATGTTTTCAGGGACATTTAATCAAGAAAATGTTACTACAGATGTGCAGTCTGTGAGGGACGAGGGGATAATACTGCAATGTACATCTTTCACGAGCTGTGATTTATTTTTAACCAGTGTTTTTAATCCTGTCCTGGATCAAATAGTATGTTATGAAGATAGCTTTAAAGTATTTATGACATTTTAGGATTGGTCATGCACATTAGCTGTATCCTGTTGCCTTATTGTGCATTATTCCACTCTAGTCAAGATCTAAATAAAGTTATTAAAAATAGACCAGGCCAATTTAATGTGTAGTTCAGCTGGCTTCACTGGAGATCTCAGTTTGTCGTTCACAGGACATTCATTATCTAACTATGAATGTGAACATCAGGGGGTAATTAGCAATACGGACGCACACAAAATCTCAATTATGTATCTATTGTTATTTACATCTGTATTAAAAGTAAAAAAGGAGCCCACAGTTTAACTTCGATTGTGTCATTGTGCTATTAATCTATTTGCAATGGCCTTGGCTAAATTAATAACTTGCACCATTTCACTTCATGTCATAGCAATGATAATCTATCCACTGTGACGGAAACATAGCCATTGAGAAAGAAACACATCTAGTGCAACATCGTAATGAAGCTATGTGAAACCCACCCAACAGTTCATGTTCTTGTTTTGTTTAGAATTAACTGAAAACTAATCAGCACCTTAGGCCCACTGTGTAGCATGCAACTTAGTGGAACTGAAGTTATGGGGGGGGGGGGGATAGATGTGTAAGGTATTATAGGGGGAATGCTGTAAAATGATGTACATGTCATGACAATGTCTTTGAGTTCTGTTGTTTTGGCTCCATGTGTAGAATAGTGTATTATAGACTAAAAGCAGTATTATTCTAAATATAATTTAAGCAAACCAAGCCATGCATGGTTTAAAAAAAAAAAAAAGGTGTCACTTCTGCTCAATACGAAAGTTGGTTCTCTGTGGTAGGGTTTGTGTTAATACATATTTGACTTTACAGAGGGTAAAGTGCACACACATTGTGAAACGTGCAGTGTTGAAACTCACCAGCTAGTCCTGTGGAAAGAAGCCTTTGATTTCATTGCACTCAACATTTCTTCTTTGTAATTGAACATTAGCCCACCACACATGTTGCTGCCTGTGCCATAACATCACTGTGGAACTTGGAAACAAGTGCTATACAACCAAGGCTTCCATCGCGTCTTTGCCCACAGCAAAAACTATGTAACAAAGTCAATAAAAAGGCTCATTAAAACGTTGTTTGACTTTTTTTCTTTTACTATATCTTTCAATTGTGATTTCAAAAATGTGTCACATGTAAAAGTTTTGGGGAAGAAAAAGCAACCAAAAACAAAACTTACGCCTCTTTATTTTCAGTCCACACAACCCATGCTTCAAGTCACTTTATGTTTGAGAGCAGATAGAGGTCGACGACGAGCTTCCAATACAGCTCATCTGGGGTTTACACATGGCCATCATACAGACCTCATTTGGTCTTAAATGTGATTATGGTTTGCTTTTAATAAATTGCAGAGACATATAACAATGAACAAGACAGCTACCTACAAAAAGGAGGGGGGGGGGGAGGTTGGAAAATACAATTGAGCATCAAAATAAAAAGCACAAAAAATAAAAATCAGCTGAAACAGTCTCAGCAAATCCAGTGCAACCCAAGACATGTTCTGCTTTATACTAGCTGAAAACTAAAAACAAGGGCACATATTAAGAATTATATAATTTGTATATCCTGATCATAATTCCAATTTATCAATATACATTTTTCCCTGAACAATTACTTTTGCACAGTACCTTTGAATTGTATAGATAAATTACAAAATGGAGTATTCCCTTTCCACCAGACATGATTTACTTAGTAAAACCCCTGAATGACTGACAGGCAGAAAGCTCTTATGCAGTTAACATTTTATATTGCTACATTTGAACAAGGATTAACAAAGGGATTTGTTTAGTTTTGCATATTTTCTTAGGTTTGTGGTTTGGCGTGCATCTGCACCGATATTGTCAAATTATTACTGAAATAGCACCAAAAGACAAACGCCCAACTATTCAGAGGCAAGGCGTTTTTTAAGTGTGTTTTAGAAATAGTACATAGCAAGTGTGCAGTGCAGTTTAATCGTTAACCACCACGTGATTAGATTTATAAAATGGCAAAGAAGTAAACAACACTAACTGTATATTACCAGACACATAAAGCTGATCCTCAATCAACACAGACAAGTCGGCCCCGGCTGATTCAAACACTGACCTGTCTTCTATCGCAGGGTTACTGTCAGGATTTTATCTTCTGCAATGATACAAGTAAACTTAGAGCTGTTGTTGGACACAGTACCTGGTGACTGTACAATACATCATGTTTTAGAGCTGGCTTCAATTACAAATGATAAAAAGAAGAATACATCCTTAACGCATACACATGATTCAGGTTGCCTTCCTTTTAAAAAATAGGTTTGGGGCTCAGTTCAGTTGGAGAATTAACTGAACCTTGGTGTTGGAGGTGTCTAAAAAGCTTATATAAAAATGTTTACCCAAATGATAGCTCCTGTGACGGAAATATGTAAATGTTTACATTTTTAAAAATACTTTTTTTTTGTTTTTTTTCAAACCATAGTTACTCATGAAGTTATTTCAACATTTAGCACCAGCTTGTAGATCATGCCAAGCCTTGGGTTTGGTCTAAAGAGCGAATCTGTGCTGCACTGAAATAGTGTAACGCAGACAGCAGTGAGACAAATTGACAAATCTTCAAATAACTTAAAGTGCCACTCCAGTCCCACTCCAGCTTTCTAAACCTAACCACAGTACGCATATCCTATCTAAGACAACTGATGGGGAGCTTCAAGCATTTCCATTAGGAAAGTGTCAATAGGCGTGTCACCAATCAGCTTGAAGAAGAAGAGATGCTCCAAACACTTCAAGCCGATAGATCGCAGTGCTGGCAGTCGCAGGAGGAGCTTCGCAAACCTGCCAGGGCAGAGGAGAAATCATTAGGTTTGAGCAGAACACCAAGGCACCAATCAGGTTTAACTTTGACTTTCTACACTGTAAAAGGATGAGCAGAGTTTGAGGTAGCTGTAGACGTTTACCTTCCCTGCTGCTCGGGGTATTTCTGTTTGCAATAGGACTCCAATGATGCATAGACCTTTTCTCTAAGGAGCTCCACCTCCCCGGTGTTGGAGAGCCCTTTAGCATCTGCAAGCAAATAGAGAGAAGATTTCCATCAGTGCCACGAGACATCCCATATAGTAAGAAAAGTATGTTAATGTTTCTTATTTAGATATCAGCATTGGTCAGGCACCTGGGTTGAAGAGGACGATGGCTCGGAGGCAGCCCAGCTCTGTTTTGTCCATTTGCATATCTCTCATTTTATTGACGAGCTCCGTGAGAACCCTAAATAACAACATTGATTGATTTGATTAAATGCTTTTAGGAAAGCCAGAGTGTAAAATACAATAATTACCATGACTTTATTAGTCAAACACTAAAATAATATCACAAGAGTGAAATTACCTGTCAAATATGGCGCCGACCTCTGCACTCTGCACACTCTCCCTGTGTTAAATAAAAACAGTTATTATTTAGACAATACAAACATGTGCAACATTAAACAAAAAGGCATAACAGTGTGTTGGCTGTTTTATGTCTCCATATTTGCACCTGTCAAAAATGGCCCCCACTCCCGCGCTGTGTGCACTGTCCCGCTGCAGCTCAGAGGCCAGGAGAACTCCGTCCTTCAGACCGATGGAGCGGTGGGAGAACGAGGCGATGAGGAGCTCATTCCACCCTGACAACGCACAAAGGGAGGGGCTCATTAAGAAACTGGTCTCGAGGACTTAGAGCCATCACTTTATCCCCCGTGTGCGTACACATCAGAAGGTCCCTGACCTACATTGACCCTCCTGCAGTCTTAAGTTATTATTGATAGTTAAACCCCCTAAGGTCAACACCAAACAAACCTCAACAGTGAGTACAACATAATGTCTTCACATTAAGGGACACTGTACAAGGGCAGATATCCTAGAACTAAGGTTCACTGCAGCACTTTTTGTACACAGTTCAAATTCAACAGGACAATATATTTTGTCAAAAAAACCTGCAGCCAACTTCAAATGTATTTTACTGTGCATTAATTACCAATATAGTCTTTATCTTTTCATTAACTCTATGCATGCACAAATACCAACTTTCAGACAAAGTTAAGGGCAGCTAAAAGTGATCCTTCAGGCTTCGACTATAATTAAAATACTGCATTGGGTACTTAATAATTAAACTTTATATAGTTATATTTATTCAATTAAAAATGTACTCAAGTAAGAGTAAAAGGAAATCCACAAAGCACTATCTTTAGCTCCAAGATAAGATAAACCGTTATATAATCCCCGTAGGGAAATGCACGTGTCAGCAACAGACGTCAGAGTGAAGCCCAGGACAGGCAAGAGTTCACATCAGTGCAGATAAGAGACAAAGATAGCAGTGTAAATGTATGACATCGCGTAACACTACAAATGTGTCCTTAGCCTCTCTTAGAAGTGTACTTTGGAGTATTACATATGCATCTGATAAACTTGAAGAAAGACTAATAATGTGCATCTGATCTCCGTTAAAAGGTGCAGTTCTTTACACTCAGTCGTACCTGCACGCAGGAGGATGACCTGGTCGTCGAGGGGCAGCTCAGAGAAGTGAGGGATTCTCTTCGCCCACTCCACCAAAGCAAACAGCTGTTTGTCTGCAGTCTGGCAGATGTTGGTAACTGCATCATGGGGCTGAAACCAAACAATAAATCACATTTTCTTAGTTGTGCATCCAAACCAAATACTTCCAACAATTACAGTAAGCCTGTACTTATAGCATGTTTTTGTTTAGGCTATTCTAAAAAAATTAGGCCAAACCCATCATGCTTCTGCCAAACACTGATGAATGGCAAAGTAACTTCCTTTTGATTGCGATGTTTTAACCACTCACAGAGTTGCCAGCGGAGCCATCGTCAGAGTGAAGCTCCGTCTTCTTCTCCACAGCGGTCTCTGCCTCTAGAATCTTCTCCACGGGCATCTCCTCATTCACGCCCATACTGAACTCCAGCTCTCCTTCTCGCTCGCGGTTCCTCTGGCGCTCCTCCTGGACCGCTGGTCAGACAAAACACAAGGACACAGTGGTGGGGGAGAAGAAAAGGAATGAGATGATGGTAAATACGGAAGAATGATAAATGTGAACTGATGAATTTATGGGTTAAAAAGGTGATATTATGCAAAATGCTCAGCCTCTGTAGAGGGTTTTTTGCATGTCTTGATACAATTGTAAGAGCAGAAACACATTTCAAAAGTGTTGCATTCAGTGGATTTCTGGCAATTTTAACTGAAGAGTGGGGCTGGTTTTTCTACAATACAGTACATTAGATAGAACTGAAACAACTGTTTCTCAAAGTATCTTTGTGGCATATTGACTTTTCATTTTCTACCATATACTACATTCATAATATCATAATAACCATCAAGACAAAAGTCAAATGAATGTTCTTCCATTATCAATAGAAGTATATTAAGTATAGTAGTAGGTTCAAGTTACATGCATGAGTATGTTAATGACATGCTTTCCTAGCTTACATGCATTAGCATAGTCGTTCACAATTGAGTACTAAATGGTTTAAGACAGAATCACAATAGATGGACAACAGAGACTAACATGTGAAGTTTTTTTTTTAAACTTAAGGGCAGTAAAAGTGAGAGTCACTTTTGTCTACAGCAATCTAAACTGTGATGTCAGTGAGGTGGAAGAACAGAAGCTGTTTTTTTTTTAAATACACAATGTTTGGACTCCCCTCAAATCATAAAATGTACCCTTCTCTCTGGCAGATCAGACACTCTCGACAAAGGTGCAGCCATAACAAAGTGACAAGGCTTAACGTGTGGCAAAGCATAGCGTAAGGACTTTATGCCTGAATATGGAGCCAGAATTTGGGCTGCACAGAGCTGGTCAAGAGGCAACACCTGCAACTGTATGCATTTTAGATAGTTAAAATGTTTCTTGCGGCCTATAGAGGGCCTTAACTAGAAAGATCCATCCATCCTATTTTCTGCTGCGCAACACCAATCCACTCAATCAGATTGTAAATACAGTTACAGAGATTCAGCTAAGAACTACAGCTGTCCGACTGCTTTTTTTTTTTACAAAGCAGTCTATCATCACAATGCACCATACCGCAGCAATCCTCACTCTCCATCATTTTGGGGTAAATTTTCACACATAAATCCGCCAATCAACAAATTTGCATGTCTAACACAACAGGCTATTTCTCTAAGTAACATAAAAATACAATATCTTTAAGATTTCATGTCATACTCATCCATCCCTCATCTTTTCCATCTTCTTTAATCCACTTTACATGTTTGATCACTATTGAAAGATGGAGAAAGGGTAGAATAGGAGAAAATGAAGAGAAGAGATGGAGAGGGGTTAGTTATATAAACCAGCCCCAATACACTCGTCTCTACCCTTTATCTTATCTAATCTATCTAATCTTGCATCCACCCTCACCTACGCCAGAAATAGTACTAATCCAATGTTACTTCATCAATTTAATTGGGCTTGCATTAGCATAATAAGTTATTCTAAGTAATCTAATTGACTGCCAATGTTTAATTCATTCTAAATAGGAATATTTAACTCTATGTTGCAGAAATCTCCAATGTAGGTCCCCTCTGTATAGTGGCATGTAAGTCAACTCGCAAAAAAACGTGTTCATAAACCTTTTATAGCCAAACAGGCTCTCAAAATGAACTTTAACTGCTATTTGAACCCTGATCTTGCATACCTTCCCTCTTCATGCCCATGGCCAGGCACTTCTGGTAGCGGCAGTACTGGCAGCGATTGCGCTGGCGTTTGTCGACCAGGCACTCTTTGTTATCTCTGCAGGTATAACTAAGGTCTTTGCGCACAGTTCGTTTGAAGAAACCTTTGCAACCCTCACAGCTGTACACTCCGTAGTGCTTGCCTGTAAATTAAAACATAAAAAGACGTTAAGCAAGAGTCTGATGGGAAAATCAAACATCACAATTGTATTATTCAGCAAAATTGTCTGGTTTCCATTTTTGTTAAGATGTTGAAACAATTGAAAACACATTACATTACTAAAATGAAATAAAACATTCTACAGCTTGTGTTTTCACTTCTGCTAATTCTGCTCTTAGCACACTCACTCACCAGAGGAGCGATCTCCACAGATGACACACATGCGTTTCTGAGACATCATTATCCCAGGGCTGTGAGATGGCATGGGCCTCAGGCCAAACGGAGGCTTGACATCTTCTGAGCTGCTGATTGAGTGCATCCCTGCTGAAGAAGAGATCTGGATAAACGAAAGAAACCAAAAAGAGTCATTAAAAACACAGCGGTGCATTTGGTTCATTTTGTCATGTTAAATTACAACACTGTTGAATGCATTATCAAAATGTGCTTTCTCTAAACTTTGAATCCTAAACTGAAGTATCAAACAAACGTTGGTATGTGCATGACAATCTTCCTGGACATATTGTACACAAAAAAACTGTGCGGTGTATGCAAAACTATCATGTGTAGCCACGACCCCGTGTAAACAAAGTACACTACAGCAGATAAATCCCTTAAATACAAAAAAGAAGGTGCACCATGACATTAATTTACTGACTAATGAATGTCAATTACCTGACTGCTGCTGATGGGTCCAAATCCCAGAGTGGGTGAGACCACAGGGGAGTTAAGTGAGGAACTGATTACTGAGAAGGGAGAACCCAAGATGCTGGTGGGGCTGTTGGAGGCTGAACTGTTGCCTTGCTGTGAGGACATGACGAGTAAGATACCCAATGGAGAGGATAAGTTCTCGTCTGAAGGATATCAATCTGAGGGTGATACAGAGGATATTATTAGTTTATGACGGAACTTGAAACATCTGTTTGCAATAACTGGTAATGATTGCAGGTAGATCTAAAATGGTGTACTGTAGTTGTTAATAAACAGGATTTTAATTGCCAGCTATTTTTGACATTTCTTAATACTTTAAATCATATGTCAAGCAAATATATGCATCAGTCTCTGACTCAGGGGAGCTGATGTTTTTGTCTTGGACCGTTTATCAGACAAAACAAGACATTTGAGGACATTTTGGAGTTTAAGAATTGCAATGAAAGAGTTTCACTGTTTCCTGGCAGATGAGAAACTCATTGATTAACCTAGAAAATAATCGTTAGTTGTAGCCTTAGTTTAAGGACATAGTGACGTTACGTCTCAAATGTTCCAACAATTATACAGCCGTCAATAATACTAAAATAAGCCTGACACGTATTCATTTTCCCACGAAAAGAGTGATGCGTTTGGCGAATACGACTGTAACCATGTATTAGCTAAGCGGAAAACCAACATCCAAACTGTTTTACATGTTCAAATAGCCCAGAATTCAGAGGAAAACGCATTAACAAATAGCAACGTTTTGTGTATTATATGAAAGTGTCTGTTCAAAGTGTTCAAAACACTAAGTACATCAACGTTTGCTTACATTAATGTGTTAACGATAGCTGGCCCCATTTGGCATCGCAATTGCGTTACACGTTTGCTAAATGTTGCTAACGATACGCAGTAACGTTTACATTTAAGTTTCACCGTGGCAAGAGGCTTTCAGTAAATACAAAGCACAAACAAAAGTGCCGGTGCCCATGAGTTATTTCACGAATACATATTGCTACAGTGCATTACTCAACATAACACATAAATAATGATTGCTTTCACCGAGGGTAGCTAGCTAGCTAGCTGCAAATCCATGAAAGCTCACAAGCCCGACAGCTAACATTAGCTTTGGCTGCCATACGTCTGGAAAATATTGCATGCTATAATATGTCTTGAAACTACGATATAAACATACCCCGGTAACCATCAAGAAATGTGCAGCTTGATAACTCGACGGTCATCGAGCCACTTCAATAAATCCGCAATAATAGCGCAATGTATTCTAGCTAAGATTAGCTTGTTAGCTGCAATTACGGCTAGCCTCTCCAGCTAACATTAGCTTGGTTCCCGGTGATAGTCTGAGGAAGCAGTGGATGACAAAACAGCTCATGGTCGTTTGAAGGTTGGAATTACTTACCAGACACACCTTCGACGCATTGTTAAAAACCACTTCACTGTACTTGTTGTAACCAGACCAGCGCCAGACTACAGGCCGACACTCAGAGCGAGTTTACTTCAACTTGACGCTGTTGTTGTTTACAGGCCATGGTGGCTCAGTGCCAGTATCCCTTGAGCCAAAATGTCTCATGGGACCACCCATAACATCTTGTCATATGACACTCCTGCAGTATGTGTTCCGCCTGATCTATACTGTAATCTTATAGATTAATTCACTTTAACATAGCATTTCATTATTGTGCGCAATATCCGACCATCTGCATGAACATTGTAATACATAATATTTACTTTTTTAAATTATAGTTCTCCCTTCCGGGGAATTAAAGGAGAATGGCACACAGCACATTTGCATTCTGAAAATATGTGTTACTCATAGTCTATGATTCTGACACAAGATTCAGATGATTTTTCAAATGTGTTTTTGGTAATGGTGTATTAATAAAGTTGACTACAGGCATGATATAATAAATTGCATTTCATTAAAATTGAAATTTAAAAGTGTTTTTTGGAGACATAATCTGATCCAACTCTTAGACAGCCACACCTAAGAAGCACTGGAATGCTTTTGACAGGAGGGGATATACAGTATTGCACAACTTTGTATGCTTCAGTGATGTTGTTTGTTATATTCTTTCACCAGAAGTATTCATTACATTGTTATTTTTCTGTAATCTTTTGCACTCCTCGTCACGTCCTTGTTCTCTGTGTGACAAATACATTATTGTTATTAATGCTTTTTTACATATTCAATTTTTCAACCAGTTTCTTAGAAATAATTCTAGTTCTGCCCTTAATTAGATGCAGCCCTCTGAAAAAAGGTGACATTTTCCAGTACACATGATCCAAAAGAGCAACATATCACATTACTGTTCTTATTTTCAGATATATTTGTTTGTTTGTTTTTAAAGCACTACCCCTCTGAGACTCACTCTCTCTCTGCTGGGCCTGTAGATCCTTCTCAACCTTCTTTCTTTGTTTGGTGTAAAAATGCATGCATATATTTATTCATCCACACTTTTTTAACATGATTGATGTTTCTCCTACCAACACATTTCTCTAGGGAAGGTATGGTGGTTTAATATAACCTGGCCTGGTCAGGGATGTAATCTTGCACGCTATTGTAATTATTTGTCTACTAACCTGTTGCCAAATAATGTCATAATCATAGATCATGTCAGCAGCTCACAGTTACCCACTTTTGATGAATTGATAAATGTATTAAATTGAACTGTTTTCATTGAATTTCAACTCAACAAACCAGGAACCCATGTGCCTTCCTGTATGTGCAATAGAGAAAGAATCCTGAAAAACAGCTTCTTACGTGGTTGCTCCTAAAGAGGTTTCTCTGAACAAGCCCGGTGGCATTCTTACAAACACTGCAGCTCATAGCTGCTGCTGTGTTGCAGCAACCGGTTAAAATAGTATATTAAAAACAACTCGTTTTTAGTTTTGCTGTTTGCCATGATCTTGACTGAAGACAGGTTGAGCACGATGAAAGGGACTCAAACTTTATATCTTCTTTTTATCTCAGGTTTGTAGCTTACATGCTTGTTTTCCTCATATTCGAATACTCATGTATAATTGTGTCTGGATATTTCTGACGAGAAAAATGTTATTGTTTTATATATACCTGTTGGTATTCAAACTGCTGTAACATGTTACTTGTTTTTTCACAGGATTGTGCTTGTCTGCACTGGGATCTTCGGATTTTCACATTATTAATATTGTTAAGAAGAACTATGCAGAAGCAAAGAACTACTGCAGACAAATGTACACTGATTTAGCTTCAGTTCACAACTCAATAGAAATGAATCATTTGATAACCTTAGTTCCAAGTATTAACAGAGCTTGGATAGGACTGGAGACTGGAAAAGTGTGGATGTGGCATTGGTCCCTGCCAGATGAAAATCTGGATTTTTTTAGATGGAAGGATGGACAACCACAAATAAAAAACGAAGACGCGTGTGCATTCATGGATAAAGATGGCGAATGGATTGCGAGTGACTGTGGAACTAAAAGAAGTTTTGTTTGTCATGGTAAGTTTAATTGCAATATTGTATTTAAATATCTTTCAGACAGCACAAATCAGTTAAAAATGGAGGACATTAGTCACTTTTTCTGTGTTTAAAATATCAAACTTTTGGATTTTCAGGAAACGAGGTTGCCAGTGGTCTAATTGTAACTAAGACCAAATCATGGAGGGACGCTCAGAATCATTGCAGGGACTTGTCGTATGATCTCATTAGCATACACTCAGCAGAAGAGAATGAGGCAGTGCATGATTTGTCTAAGTCAGAAAACGTGTGGATTGGCCTCTTTAAAGATTCCTGGAAGTGGTCTGATGGGAGCATGTCATCTTTCCGTTATTGGCTACCTGCTCAGCCTAACTACCTTAAAGGTCAGAATTGTACTGCTGTTATTTTCAAAAATCAAGGCAAGTGGAATGACCTGAAATGTGCCGGAAAGCGCCATTTCGTTTGCCAAGGGGGTAAGTTGATGTTCTCTGTCAGCAAAGTTATCTTTATGTTCTTTTAATTTATGTTTTGTAACCTTGCAAAATACCAAACAGAGATCTATAGTCTGTGTCAATTTAATTTGTTACTTACTCTTACAGCAAGAAAATCAATTCCAACAACCACACATCAAAGTACAGAGGGGACGACAGAAGATCTGACAACTTTGTACTCATCAACATCTCAAGAGGTCCTAATTACTTTTCATTTTAATGTGGTTTCTAATACTTCGCACACCTCTAAAGTTACCACGGAAGAAGCAACAACTGCTAATCGTCCGACAACACCAAATACCACGGATCGTGTGTCAAGCACGTCAAGCACCGAGCTCAACAATGCAGCAACAGAAATGTCAACTGTGACAGCAACACAGCAAATTCCCACTACTACCACACTCATAACTAGAGGTGGTATCTCTACTATTACAACACTGAAGCCGACTTCAGCCGATACCACTTCACCGTCCTTAACTCTAAAGCCCACTAAAACCACCACTACTACCGCACTCATAACTAGCGGTGGTATCTCTACTTTACCTACACTGAAGGCAACTTCAGCCGATACCACTTCACCGTCCTTAACTCTAAAGCCCACGGCAACCAGTCATAGTTTGCTTACAGGTAATCAAATTATAATGTGCCTTTGTGGTAATTTTCCCTATATTTGCCTGGTGACTGGATTAAAATGTCTCTGTTTTTCTCTCTTTTGTCTTTTAAAAAGGAAACCTGATACTAGTCCGGAAAAATATGACATGGATTGAAGCTATGGGATACTGCAGGGACCACCATATTGATCTCATCCACATTACCACCAAAGACATTCAGGGGAAGGTGGCTGATATGGCAAAGAAAGCCACATCACCCCATGTTTGGCTAGGTTTACGATTCACTTGTAAATTTAACTTTTGGTTCTGGACAAATTCAACTACGAGTTGTTACCAGAACTGGGCCCCTGGACAAGGACCTACAGGGAGACATGACTGTGGTGTTACAGGTGCCATTGATACCACTGGGAGGCAGCAGTGGGTAGGCCTGCCTGAGACAGAACAGCTGAATTTCATCTGCTCCACATGCACTGAATGAGAGTGGAGTAACTTCAGGAGACATTGTTGTTGTTGCAGTTTTTCTGTATGCTGTATGGAGAAAAATGAAACTGTTCTGGCTATACAATCTTTGTGATTCGAAAGTATATGATTCAACATTAAATACAAGTTTCTTTTAACCAATTGTGACATCAACTTATTTGATTTTAATGCTCACTTATGACGTCATACTTCTACCATTGTTGAAATACAGCTGCCTTCTCTATTGTTGATTTTGAATTTCATTAAATATGAAAACCTCCTGTGGTGTGTAGGCGTGGACATTCACAGTCATGGGCAGCAAGAGTAATGTGAGAACATTGATCTGCTTTATGCCTTTCACTCAGGGGTTACTATTTGCATGTTGACCCCCTGGGTTGGGCCCCAACATTTTCTTTTTTAGACCACCAGAGTGTGGCCCCGATCCAGACTGCCTGCTGCCCTCTCTGACCTGACCTTCACTAGCGGACACATGGAAGACAGCGCTCACAGACGCTCACCTTCCTGTCTGCACCCTTGAGGTACACAGAGCATCTTTCACCATGGGAAGTGGAAATGATACAACATTTTCAATGAATGTCAAACTCTTCCACAAAAAATAAAAACGGGCTGTTTTCCCTGTTAACTGTAAAGAAACATGATGGGTTCCCTGTATTTTTTATTTTTTATTTAATGTTCACACCATACAACAATTACTACTACAACTATTTACTCTAGATGCAGTTTCATCATTGTCATTGCTTGTTAAACTCTATTTCCCTTGAGGTGAAAAATAAGAAACCGTGAAGAATATAACAAGAGTAATATACACTGTATTAATAGAAATATACACTATATTACTCAATATTAATACACTCTATATTACTCAATACTATTAATTAATATAACTGCTGTAAGTTATAACTATTTATGACAAGTTTTGATAATTGGAGCATACTGAAGTGAGTCCTCAAACTCCAAACTGATAATAAAGTTATATACAAATACATTAATAGTAATATTAATAGAAATATACACTATAGTTCTAGTGGTATACATTATATTACTCAATATTATTATAGATTATATTAGTAGTAATATTGATAGTAATATACACTATATTACTCAATATTATTATACACTATATTACTCAATATTGTAAGTTATTATAACTTCTGTAAGGTCAAAACTATATATACTATACAACTCAATATTATTATTACCCAATACTGTAAGTTATTATAACTGCTGTAATTCAAAACTGTCTAAGAACAGGTTGTAATAATTTGTGTATACCGAAGTGAGTCCTAAAATTCCCAACTGATAATAAAATTATACAGATCTATAACCCAATATGCCTATAGGCTTCTTATTCAAAAGATGAGACCTTATACTGTAGTTTCACATAACACTTTTCATATAATCCATTATTAAGGAGAGCACTTCATCATTTCACAAGTATACACGTTTGTTTGCATCATAGACTTAAATAACCCAATATAACCACTAAAAACTAGTAGGGAAAGCTTGTAATCTACCGCTGCATTTTTATAAGTGCTTTTGCATCCACAACAAGGGTCTTGTCACTTGTCAATTACCACGGACCATTACACATGAGTGTGTCATAGCTTAGTTTCTCACAGAATAGGCCTTGGTCAGTGAGCCTCCCATCAGTTCAATGTTAATGTCCCATTGGGTCCAGTCAGTGAGTCTCTGGACTCCCCCCTCACCCCCTTTTCTCACCCTCATCTCCTCTTGTGTGCTGTCCAGCTGGCTCTGACCTCTGACCCTTTCACCCTCACTCCTGACCTCTGAGGACATTCCCACGCCACACCCTTTTGTGTACATCTCGCCATGGAGACCCAGTGGTCACTCCCTCTGCATTTTTAGAGATTATGGTGATAGGCATAATTCACTTTCACTGGGATCAGTGTAATGCAACCTAATTTGGCCTAATCCTAATTCAAGTATGAGGTGCTACAACCCTAAAATGTATATATTTATTAAGAGTGTCTGTGAAGAATATTTACAATATTGGACAACAAATATATCATTTAATGTACATGTCATTTTATCATCAAAATCCTTAGCCTGACTCAATGCAATACAAAATATGTTAAATAAATCACAAGTGTAAATGCAGTAACTAAATGCTGCTTTCTGAGGGTCCAAACGTTCAACAATAGTTTTTCTATCTAAATGCGGTCATTACAGGTATTTATTCCTCCGGGTGTATTGTTTATTTTTTAAGATGAAACTTTAAACATTAGTGCAAATATACGTTTTTGACTATGTTCCTCTACCTGCCATGGGCACTTGTGTCCTTCCCTCTTTTCTTTTCTTCTCTGAGCGCGCACCCCTCCGTGGATCCCTCCCTTCTTTTCCTTCTGTCACTTTCACAGTTAATTGTAGAATAGAGATTTTCTCCATTGTGCCCGGGTCTCTTAGGTAACCCCACTCCTGCATGAAATGAGATGGATAGAGGCGAAGGCATCGAGAGCGGGACAGGCAAACTGAACAAGCAGCGGAGGAGGACGGACGCAGAGGACAGAGGACCTAACAATATTGAAAAAAAAGTTAAGATAGACTTTTATATTTAATAACATTAATAGATGCTTCTCTTGGAATATTATCACTGTATTATTGAAATTGCTGGGGCATGTAAGTACATTATTACAATAATGTACCTTTTAACAAGTTAGTTAGTACAAGTTAATTTAAAAATATGCCAGGGTATAGATAAGAAATAGTACATTTCTAAATAATCAATGTGTACATTTTGTGTAATAATATAGTGCTACTGGTTAAAAACCTTTGGAACATGGATTACATTTAATCTTTACATTGAATTCCTTTTAAAAACCTCTCTGATGACATTTCTGAGAGTGGCCTGTTTTTCTTTTGACGGTTCATTTATTTATTTAAAATTGTCAGCCCATTTGATGATAGATATTTCTGCGCTTGTTTTTATTTATTCATCTCATACACTTCTTTTAAACCAATGCAGCTATTCATACCAAGTTTGACAGGGAGTCTGGCGTTGATTGTCCAAACGCAATTCTTGTGCTGATTCTCCATATCCAGGAGTTGTGCATGGACATCTTGCCTCAGACTCTCATTTACTTCATCTTCTTGCTGGAATAACACAGAGAACTACATGGGAATTCATTTAATGTCATTTAGCTGTGTGCAGGCCTTTCATTTTTTTATAATTACGGAAAATAAATCATTTCATCGCCCCTACTGGTTTTAAACTATTGGTTTAGTTTGATTGAAATTACATATTTATGGAACATTTTCAAAATATAATAAAAAAAGTTTGGATAATTAACAAATGTGACTTTATGCCTTTAAAATGCAGGTATTGAAATTCTAAATCAGTTCTCCGAATTAATCTAAAGCTTCCAGATCCTGGACTTTGACTTTTTTAATTTCCTGAGTTCCCTGTTGAAGGAGGAGACTGCATCATTGGACGAGCATATTTGAATTTTTTATTGTAAAGTTCTGTTTGTTTCGTGTGTGAATATCTTATTATATTGAAGAAACAAGTGACCTTGGTTTGTGGATCAGTTGTTTGCTGAAAAGAAACATTTTAAAAGAACAATGTATCTTGCTATTTGGGGAAAATCCGATCATCAATGGTTGAAGAGATGATCTGGTAACGGGCCACATGGTGAATGGAGGCCGAGAGTGTGTGCCAAATGGGTCTTTGGATTACTCAGGGCCATAACACACCCCTGTTCTTATTTGTAAAACTGTGTGTATTATACACAGTGTATATATGTGTAACAAATGTATATATTTTATCTATAAAATATTTTATTTTAAAACTTTTTATAAGCTTGATGTTGATGTTACAGCTATGTCTTTTTAAAATCTAAAACGTAAAAATGCAATTCATGTTATTAAAGAATACCATGAAGTAAGTCAAAAACGATATAGACTATTAATTGCATATTGACAATATTAAAATAGAAATGAATCACTAAATCTCCTTAAACAAACATGCTGTATGTGCAATAAAGTAGTAGATCACTGCAAGCCTAAAACCTCAGGCAAATTACCAGGGATTGGTCATCTGAAGCATGTAGTTCTGATAACAATGTTGGTGCTAATTTCTTACAAAAACCTCAACATGGATGTTTATAGGTGTTTACATTTACAAGAGTATAAAGTGAAACATCAATCAAATAAATAAATGTGAAAATCTGACGCTTTCACTTGCATTTCTGGTTTATGTTGAATGTAAATATAATCAAATGTACATGTTTCCTGCTATACTTGAGAAGAAATATGATTTTTTTGTATTGCATCTTATATGAAGCTGTTTATGTAGAAAAAAATAAAGTTTCTGAACCGGTCTCAGTGTGTGTTTCTTTCTTTTGTTGAGTTAAGTCAAGTTAACTGCAAGACAAGTATTATGTGTAGATTAAGAAGCTTTAGCAACTATTGATGAGATATATTTGAGAATGAACCATTAACATGAAGAAATGTTGATATTTATGGAGTTTACAGAAACTTTAGCAACACTTCTCTTTCCTCTAAATCATTCCTGAATCAGTAAACAGCCCTCACTCTATTCCCTACCGTAAGAGAACAAACTCGATTTCTTGTAAATCACATGATTTTCGGGAAATCTGGCTGACTTGCCAGTGAGAGTTTGGGTACACATTGTGAAACAGAAACTAACACTTTCCATGCTGCATGCCAAGTAATAAAAAAACAATCATGTTGTAGCCTGACATTTTAATATAAACACTATGAGAATATAACACATCTGTACAATAGAGTATACATAGTATTTCTGACAGTATGATGATTTTCTCAATTTGTGTATAGCCAGTTAGAACATGCAACATGTGGCTTCATTTTGAGAAATGAAACAAAGTTATCTAAAAAGGAAAAAAAGAGGGAGGGCTTTGCGAAGTCCAACGATTGGGAAATAAAGGGATGGATCAATATCAAAACTTCAGTTCATCAAAAGCCTGTGTCAGAGCAGGCAAAGACCTAGGAGCTGCACCATGGAGCGCTACATCTTCTCAATACTGTTTCTGATCTTGACTGTGGAACCAGCTGCTTCAACGGACAATGGGTAAATGTAGAAATAGCTGCATGATTATATATTATGTCATGTAATGGGAACCTTTTTTTGTTTGATGAAAAAGGGATTTAAATAAATACAGTATACATATATATTTTATGTTTTTACACATCATCTAATAATGAATGTTTTCAACATAATATATTGTTAATGATTATTATGAGATTTTGTCATATTGTTAGAGTATATAAAATATGCGGCGTTGCACACATTTCTCTAAGGGTATATAGGTCAAGCAATGCAAATGATAGCAATAAAGGTGCCAACAGTGCTTTTTTCACCTTTTGTGTAGATTCTTCATCTCAGCCCCCGGAGTTTTTCATGTGGGTGTTAATGAGAAAGTGTTTGTCCAGATGGGAAAGTCTCATTTTAACATTCCTGTTACTCTCTACCTGGAGTTTGAGACTGGGGGACTTTTGTCTGAAAAAATAACTACTACTTGTACTGAGGAACATAAGATCCAAACAGTTGAGCTCAAGGTATGAGACACTTTTCAAAATGAAAATAATTTTGACAGCACTTATAGGTCATTAACCAAACTTATAATTTGGATTTGTACAGATAAAAGACTTTGTAGCAAAGTTGGAAGAACCTAAGGCATTGTGGTACCTCACACTGGTGGCAGAGAGCCCCGCCTTCAGTGGCAGGAAGTCAACAAAGGTCCTGGTATCAAAACGGAGAGGAAATATCTTCATTCAGACTGATCAGCCAATTTACAACCCAACACGACAAGGTGAAAGGAAAGAAAATAATATCAACTCAACAGAATGAATAATTATGGTTTGTAAAACCTGTCTTTTTCCATATTATGTCTTCAAGTGAATTACAGGATATTCACTCTTGACCACACGTATAGGCCTAGTGAGGACGTGATCTATATATCAGTTATTGTGAGTGACACATACTTACTTAAGAAATAATGCATACATTATTTTAATTGGTGAATTTTTTTGGCTGACACTTATTATTTCTTTACAGAATGCTGCTGGGAACAAAGTAATGAGGTCCCTACGGTCTGCAAAGGGAGGAATACTAAAAGGCAATTTTCCCATACCAGATGTCTCAAAGTATGATGAAACAAATGAACAATAAACAGCCTCTAGCATGACAATACAAGCACATTTGACACCCTAATAACAAATGCATATTTTGTTTACAAAGAATGGGCACATGGAAGATTACAGCACACTATGAAAATGACGAGAAAAACGCTGTTTCCAGAGAGTTCAAAGTCAAAAAATTCGGTGAGTTTATTTGGTTTAAGTTTGTTGTTTCTTAAGTATTTTAAATATGTTGTCCCCCTTTAAAACGTTGTTTTTCGATCCTATCCTAGTTTTACCAAGTTTTGAGGTGAACATTGCAATGGAACAGCGCTATATTTTGTTAAATGCTGTAGAGTTTAACTTCACCATCTTAGCCAGGTAAGTGTTGATTCATTTAAACGTTCTTTACTGCCAAGTGTTCTTGTTTATACAGCAATACATTGTGTCCACTATGCCGAAAAACTAAAGAAAAAAGTTGAAGTACACAGCAGAGGAATCGCTCTATGAAGTATTTAGCATTTTATATTACACATAGAATGTATTAGTACATATTATTTTATGATATAGGCTGATTCCTTTAGCAGGGGTGTCAAACTCAAATACACAGTGGGCCAAAATAAAAAATCCAGATCTAATAGTAATACAAAATTATCCTGCGGGCCGAAATTAAATCCACCAAGGGCCTAATTTGGCCCCCGGGCCTTGAGTTTGACACATGTGCTTTAAAGTATTAAGGGTGCATGTCCCCCAATGTGTTAGTTGTATACCTTTTTTTGTCTCAACTTCATCTGCTACAATTCTACAATGATTTTCTCTCTATAGATATTCACATGGCGAGAAAGTTAAAGGGGCTTACCACTGCCAATTTGGTGTGGTAGAAAAAGAGACAACTCATGGTGAAAAAATGAAACCTGTCTTTATCAGGAGACTGGAGTTGACTGGTTCGGTGAGGAAAAATATATTTATCCAAAATGTATAATCCAGCTCATTTTGAGATCAGATAATCTGGCAACATATTGCATTTCTTAAACTTTACAGTACTTAAAATCAACAATTGATGTCATTCCTTACAGGTCCAGGATGGAACTGCATCAGCTACTCTCCAGATAGCAGAATTACGCAACCAACTCCAAATTCAGCAGAATAAAAGTATCTCCGAACTACAGCAGCGTGGAGCCCAGATCTACTTGGGAGTATTTGTCACCAACATCCAAAGTAAAGAACACTGTGTCACACTATATACACATAATTAAGTAGGCAACCATAGGGTGTAAAAAGGGAATACATTTAACAAAGTGTAAAATATCCATTTTGTAAGTGAGAGGTATACATAGAAGATATAGTTTTGTGATTGCTCAATGCATCTGATTTCTGCCTTTTATTGCCCAGGTGGTGAAATTCAAGAGACAGAGGTGTACCTTCCTATCATCTCCCACAAATACACCGTGGATCTCTCTCGAACTCGCACATATTTCCTTCCTGGATACCCGCTAGATGTAGTGGTATGTATGAAACTCACAAATGAGTACACAGCTATGTATGCAAAGTCTGTAAGGTTAATCCAGTTTGTTGTTATTATAGGCAGTTGTGCGTCACCCAGATGGATCCCCAGCAGCTGGTTTGCCAGTAAAGATGGAAGTAAAACCAGAGGAACCTTGGCACGGCACCACTGACCAGGAGGGGGCAGTGTATCATGTCTTTAACATTCAAAATGAGGTTCCGATTACAGTTAAGGTTAGTATCCCTAAAGAAATGAAATGAATAAACTACTTGATTTCCTGTTGTTAAGATACACTGTGTATACTCTTGCTTCATCAGGTGTCAGCAGATGGCCTTCAGAAGGAGAAAGTAATCCAGAAAGCTTCTTCTCCGAGTAATTGCTTCCTTTACCTGAGTATTACCCACAGGATGTATTCTGTAGGCGAGACACTAACTGTTAACTACAACACCATCAATGCCCCAACACAAGGGTTGATATACTATATGGTGAGGCATATCAAATTAATTAAGGAAACCTGTTTTCTTTGATAGAGAGAATAAACTGTTTTTTATATCTAACATGTATTTGTTGACTACATGTAGGTTTTTAGCCGTGGGATCCTAATAAAGCAGGGTTCTGTAAGCCTTGGTACTTCAGTTGGAAAAAACCTTCAGATAACATCTGATATGGTGCCATCCTTCCGTCTGATTGGCTACTACTACAACCAGAATGATGACATCATTGCGGACTCAGTGTGGGTAGATGTCATGGATGAATGTCAGATAAAGGCCAAGGTGAGTAAACAGAACAGATAAGAGTGCTGTCTGAGCAGAGTGAGGCAGTAGATAAACACACGTTTACCTCCGATGGGGTCAGTTGAGTAGAAGTAGGACAGTTGTTGGACTTTATAAAGACTAAAGGAAATCAGCATTAGATTGAAAGTAACTAGCTGTGGTGGGTGTTATTAGGGTGTTTTTATGTTGACATGTTTTTACTTCAATGGTGTTCATTTAATAATTGAATTAACTTTTTCTTTGGACAGTGGCTTTTAACAACTTCTGTAAAATTGTACTTTAATTTAGGTAGAAACAAAAGGACCGTTCAAACCCGGAAAACAGTCTGTGCTAGAATTTGATTTGCATGGTCAGAGAGCCAAAGTGGCGTTGCTGGCTGTGGATAAAGCCTTCTACGGTCTTAATGCAGATAATAAACTCACAGCCAAACAGGTAACACTTCACCCATAATATCTCTACCAACACACTGAGGTTATTGCATTTATCCCATTATTATAGCACAGTAAATCCAAGCTCATGTTCTACCTTTCAGGTGTTTTCGTCCATGCAGTCCTCTGATCTTGGTTGCACATACGGTGGAGGAGCTAACCCTGGATCTGTACTAACTGATGCTGGACTGTCTTTTTTCTCTCAGTCAGATTCAAAATGGAAAAAAGGTATGAGAAATTACTTTATTTCTTCATCTTACCTTTTTTAAATGATTCCTGTCAAGATGTAATAAAGACGGTTTCAGGTTTACTAACATTAAATTAACACACACATATTTTAAAGGTCACCTATTATGCAAACATCTACTTGTTCATGTATTTTATACATAAACATGTTTCCCCTCTGTGTAAAGAGATTCTCAAAGTTTCAGGGAAAAAAATTCTCTCACTTTTTGTCCGGATCCATTTATATAAAAACCTGTCTGAAAATGAGCTGATCAGATTTTGGCCACTTTATGTCATAACGATTTTTTTGGCTTGTGTAACCATTAGCCAATCACCAACGAAGATAACACCACCCCCCCACCTTATCACCTGAATCTCCTCCTAGAGCACCATTGTGTTCTTTTTAATCAAATATCTCTCAGAGGGGCGTGGGGAGTGGCTCCTTATTTTCATCTAAAGTAACAGACAGAGAATCAGCACTTTTGAAACAGGGCTGAAACAGAGGGGATTATGGGATGCTACAATGCATGATCTGTTTGGTGTTTGGAGCCAAACACTTCAGAGACATATTTGTATATATCTGAGACCTATAATATATTGATGAAAAATACTATAATAGGAGACCTTTAAGGGACACTTAAATCCAAAATCCATTCAGCAGTGTGTTATCACTTTCCAGGTCTTACCTGCAACTCACAAGCTGCAAGACAAAGGCGCTCTGTGGACCTTCAACAGGAAATGATGTCCTTAAGTAAGAAAACATGCTGGCATTACTACTCAGGTCTGAGATAATGTAATGTGATTCTAGTAAGAACATGTTTGAATTTGTTTTCCTTTTGTGTTATCATACATTTCAGAATCAAACTTTTCCAATGAAGAGTTTCAAGAATGTTGTGTTCAAGGGTTTTCTCTTATCCCTATGAGACGCACATGTCTGGAAAGAGTGAAGAGAATCAATCTGGTGGAAGCCAAACCTGGTTGTGCAGAAGCCTTTTTTAAATGCTGCCTTGAAGGAGAGCGTCTGAGAAACAAAAAGATGATAGAGGAGGCCCAGGATGAACTTGGCAGGAGTGAGATAATATTTTCATGTGGACATTAAATACTTACACAAATACAAAATTGGCATTTCATAACTGTGGCAAACCTTTAATTTGTCTGTTTTTCAGCTACCAGCACAGAGGACATTGAAGAGTTCTTTTTGGACACCACTGCTCAGTACATTCGACGATTTTTCCCCCCAAGCTTTGCATTCACAGAATTTGAAGTAAATGGAAAAGGAAGGTAAGAGGGGGACAGACCCTTTGTATGCTAAATGTTGAATTACATTCCTAAAGTGGCTTGTTATGCAAGTTAATACTTCATAGTTCAATCAATGTTTATTTTAGTTCTGTTTATATTCTTTGTATTTGTTACTGTGTGTGTCAATTTAAATATGTTAGCATTTTTCAACAATCAGTGTCATTGAATCTGATTGAATGCATTACGTAATGTCTAATGAATCAAATATAGACAAAGCATTTTTCCGATGCATTTTAGTAAGGCAGCACTCTTTAATTGATCTTATTGAAAACCCTTAGCTATAATTTGGCTCTCCCTGATTCCATCACCACGTGGGAGATTCAGGTGGTCACTTTATCAGCAGCCACAGGTAATAGTAGCTTCATCCCACTTCAGAAATACATCTGGAATACTTGACCGAGTAGCTTCTCATTAATAACTCTGTTTCATCCAGGTTTCTGTGTAGTCAAGCCGTCTGAGGTCAGAGCATTCAAGAGCGTATTTGTGTCTCTGAGAATGCCTTACTCTGTGAAGAAATATGAGCAACTATCCATTTCACCTGTTATCTACAATTATGGCGATGATAAACTACAGGTATGATTAACATTACATTTACATTAACCCCCCCCCTCCCACTATACAAATTCAATTCATAATGTATTTTTCTCTGTGGATTCATGCATTGTTATAGTTGGCTGTTCACATGGAACAAACGGAGGGGCTTTGCTCGCCCGGCTCAGCCACCACGACAGCTTTTGTCAACATTACTGTGGAGCCGCAGTCCTCTCAGTTTGTCTCCTTCTCTGCTGTCCCCATGGTAACGGGCTCGATACCCATCAAAATCCGTCTCTATGATATAGGGAATGAGATGGGAATAGATGCCATTGAGAAGACTTTGAATGTGTTTGTGAGTGAAAAAGACATGATTTGATCTCAATGCAAAATTATTTTATAATAGCGGCCTGCCTGACAAATTAAATATGGAAAATATGAATATGTACAAATTAATCGCCTTTATTGACCATCCATATGTGACATAAGCATTATGTTATAACTTTTCAACTTGTTAATAAGTACTGCTGACAGTTTTTTATGCGTATTAAAAGGTCAGCAAGTTTTATAAAAGTGTTGTTAATAGTTAGTTAATTAAAATGTCTGTGATAATGCAGAAAGTATTGTATCCCTTAAAAAATGTATAATGCTTGAGGATATTAACAAAGTAATTAATTAACATAATATGAGCATTGTGATGTTAGCTTATACCAATATGCTTCTTCCACTTGCATATATTAATATGTAAAGCAAGGGACACAGAATAACCAGCTCAATATTTTTCTCATGTTGTAGACAGAAGGACTAGAAAAGAGAGTAGAAGAAACCCATGTGCTAAAATTAGATGGTAAGTTTTGGCTGTTTTTCTTATTAATGCCTGCTTCACAGTTGCCAATATTTCTGTCTTCAAAATAATTTACACGTACATTTGGTTCAATAAATCTATTTCTCTGTATCTTATTAGGGAAGAGCTCAAAGACTTTCACTATTGACGGAACTTTACCAGATGACGTAGTGCCAGACTCCCTTTCCAATATTTTCATTTCAGCCGAAGGTATGTACTAACAAAAACAAACTGAGATCATACCACAGACCTTTGTAAATAAAAGTGTCTTATCCTTTCAATGTTCTCATCCTACAGGGGATGGATTTGGCAGTTCACACGCAGAGAACCTTCTTTCTCCTCAAAAGGTTTCCAAACTGATCGAAATGCCTACAGGATGTGTAGAACAGACAATGTCCATACTGGCCCCTACAGCTTCAGCCCTCCGCTACCTGGACCTGAGTCAGCAATGGTTTGACCTGCCTGCTGGTACCAGAGATGATGCTCTTGATAAAATTGAGAAAGGTAAGAACACATCAAGAGCTTATTTTAAATGCATGTGTTTGTCTGCTAAGTTTTAATAACAATATTCATATAAAATAGAGAAAGAATCCAATAAAAATAGCGATGTCCTCGTTGTTCACTGTAATCATTTTAAAATTTAGAATTTCAAATTGGTACTAGTTGGTAACTTAACTCAGTTAAAGTGGGAATAAAAAATTACCCCTTTGTCTTTGTTTAATGGTTTCTGTCACACTAGTATTGTGGTACGTTATAAAGGTTGCTCCCTCTGCGGGTTTTTCACAAATCTCAAGACATTTCGTTTTTTAACAAAGTATAAACTTTCTTTGTCAGGTTATGCCAGGGTTTTAGGTGGCAAGCAACCAGATGGATCTTATAATCCATGGAGTAAAGAGAAACCTAGTAATTGGTGAGTATGTTTTATGCTGCCTGAATTGTTCTTGACATAAGGTAGTTACTTCCAATATTTCAAATATTAACAAATATTAGCTACAATATTGTAAATCAGCATTTGTGATCCATATTTCCCCTTTGTTTTTCTTTCTCTTTTCCACAGGTTGACTGCCTATGTAGTGAAAGTGTTATCGCTGGTGGGGCAGCGTCAGACCGTGGCTTTTGGAGAGCAGGGCAGGAAGGCTAGGGTTGTGCCAGAAGAAGATATCCGGCATTCAGTCAGATACTTGCTCTCAGTACAGAACACAGATGGGTCATACCATGACCGATATCCAGTGCTACACAATGGAGTTCTGGTAACTTATTATAAATAAATGTTAGGAGATGCATATGTTATATTAGAACAATATAAGATATAGGTTGCAGTGATTTGAATGCAATATTGTCTCTGTGTTCAATGTAGGTAAACCAAGACAAAAAAGCATCCATGACGGCTTCCATTAATCTTGCACTGTACCGGTCTCTTCAATTCCTAGATAGTGAATTAAGAAATAATGTGGTGAGATAATACATCGACTCGAAACATATATATATCTTGATATATCTTGACAACATTGCACTTTAATGCTTTTACTTTTCCTCTAGCTTCATTGGTAGGTGAAAGTTTTCACATTCACATCGAAATCTACCAGAGTGATTGGCACAACATTTTGTAGAAATAATAACAAGTTCCAGACAAATCTTAACGATGTTGGATACCTGATACCTGCTATGGCTCAACCATGAAGTAAAAGTCAGTGTTTGGGACTTAAAATATATGTATACATTTAATTTAAGGTCTGTTACATACAAGCCCGTGCCAAACAAGTTCACCTAATGCTGGTTAAGCCTACCACATACAGTGAAAGCGAATTTTGCAATCCAACATGCTAAAATAAGATTGTCACAAAGGTAATAAACCCTACACATATACAGAGCCATGCTACTGTCAGCAGAATTGTCATGTTTTAATATTTGATGTATTTCGATACACTTTAGTCAGTGAATGATTTGTGACGAATAGTTGTAAAAACATGACTCCTTTATGTTACTTTCTACCAGGAAGCAAGTATTTCAAGATCTAAAACATATCTCCTGTCACACCTGGAGGAGCTTCAGCATCCCTACGCTGTTGCCATTACAGCCTACTGCCTTGCAGTTTGCATGCCACAGGAAACAGATCATTCATCTGCCTTGAGAATACTTCAAAAACTGGCTACTGAAGGTAGAAAAAAGCAGTCCCTCTGATTGAATTACAGCAAACCTAAGACACCCAGAGATACGTATTGAAGAGAATGTTTTTATGGTGGCAGAATGATTGCAAGTTGATCAATGTATGTTATCTAATATATTTACACATATCCCAATCCTACAGGCAAACATACCTGTCTTGGATATTGTTTAGATATTTAAACGTATTGTCTATTTTTTATATATCAGTGGAGAATGGCTGTAATCAGCGGACAGCTAATGCCAGCCCACAGAAACAGAGGCCAGATGCCATCACAGTAGAGACTGCAGCTTACACCTTACTGGCTGCAGTGGAACTGGGGCAAACCGAGATCGCAGACAAAACTGCGTGCTGGTTAACCACCCAGGAAAACTATTTTGGTGGCCAAGGATCATCACAGGTGATTATCAATAATCCCCGTTTTAGATTTACCAGATAAACAATCATAGTTGAGATGTTAAACTTTTTATTTCCACCCTCAGGATACCGTCATGACAATGGAAGCCTTTGCGGAATACGAGCTAAAGAGGACCACCAGTCCTGAAGCAAATCTCATAGCAGAGTTCACAGTCCCAGGAAAGAGAGACATTGCAAAGCTTACACTGAAAAATAAGAAGGAGAGAGTGGAAACAGACCTTAAGGTATCAGGGCATTATCAACAGAACACTTACAGTGCATACACACACACACACAAACTAAATCTCATTCTTGTGTCTTTTGTCCCAGAAATTAGCAGGGAACAACATTATTGTGAAATTGACAGGAAATGGCGAAACCAAGTTGAAAGTAAGTTTGACAAATGTCTCCAATATGATATATAAATACTAATCCATAATATAACATAAATCACAAATGTCTTCTGCAGATTGTAAAGGCTTACCATCTACTGGACTCCAAGGACCATTGTGACAAAGTGTCTATCAGCGTCAGAGTAGAGGGCAAAGTGAAGTACACAGGTGAGCTTTTATTATAAGTCACAGCCACATGCATTGAAGACAAAACCTACAGTTACAATAACCTTGGTTTCCTCAGCTAAGATCATAGAAAACTATGACTACTATGAGGACTACTCTGTCAACAAGGAGAAGGAGGTGCGAGTGGCACGATCAGCAATTGAGTGGTTTGATGCTCGCACCAGAAACAGAAGAGATCTTGATAACAACCTCCAATCAGAAAATACTGTCACCTACCATGTGTGTGTCAGGTTAGTTGACACCAGTACAGATGTGATCTTAAATAAATAACATTAGACGGTGAGTTTTGAAGGAAAAAAAGCTTTGTCTGTATTTTTCATTGTTTTCCTGTGTGTAGTCATAGCCTAGACCGCAATCTCACAGGAATGGCTATTGCTGACATCACACTGCTGAGTGGATTTCAGGTTGAAACTCAGGACCTGGATAGGGTCAGTACCACTCTCTACCTCCTCTTCATCATTAACATCCTCAGGGCAGTGGGAGGAGCTTCTTTTCATTTTCATTCATGCATTCCTTCATTCAATAGACAAGCTAAGGGGTTTGAAAGTTGAAAAAGCTTAGAAACTATGTAAGAAAATATTTTGGTTTTGAAAAAAAGTTGAAGGTACATGACTATGAACAAACATATTTGACAGGCAACTGTGATTTGTAATCTAGCAAACAGCAGCAACTCAAGAAAAATACCTGTTCTTGAATGAGTCTGGCACATTAAGCCCTGTAAAATGTAATCTGATGCGTTTTATGTTAATAAATACATATTTGTTTTGAGTGTGTTAGAGGTTATAATAGACAGATTTAGTTAACTATGTTTTGTTAACGGTTCCCCCAGTTTCCAGGGTTTGTTCTAAACTTAATTAGTCTTCATATTTTGCTGAAATAAATGAGAAACGTACCTATAGGTTACTAGCATAACCCCGGTTCGAGTAACATGAGTGAGATGTCTCACTATGGGATGCGCCTCCCTGCGTATGCCTCAGAAGCATCAATCTCATTACGCCAATCCTGATTGGCTGGTGATCTTGACGACTACGTCAGGGAATCCACCCACCCTTTAAGTAGCTTGCGCTACGATGCAGCGCCATTCAAAATAAGCACCTCTTCTCGCTTCGCCTCAGCAAGAAGGGCTGTCTGGTGAGACATCTCACTCATGTTACTCTGAGAACCGGGGTTACGCTAGTAACCTACAGTATAGTTCTCATTCATAACATTCATTTCGATGTCTCACTATGGGATATTGAGACTCCCGTATTGCTAGACATGCTTATCTCTAAAATCACCAGTACTCAACAGGTAGAACTCTGTCCCAACGCGGACCCTGAGCCCAGCACTGCATAGGCCACGCTTGAAGCAGAGACATCCAATCTGTAAAAACGGACAAAAGTGAGCGGTGAAGACCAGCTTGCTGCTGCACAAATGTCCTGGATGGAAACACCCTTAAACAAAGCCCAGGACGTAGCCAGGCCACGAGTAGAATGAGCATGCAGGCCCGTTGGTGCCTGCAAACCCCGACTCGTGTAAGCCAGAGCTATCGCTTGCCCTTATGAGGGTTAGCCCAGGATACAAAGAGTTGGTCACTGCATCGAAACTCTTTAGACCTGTCCATATAGATGCGCAAGGCACGAACTGGACACAGCAAATTTGACCGCTGTTCTTCAGAAGAACATAACGGTGAAGAAAATGCCGCAAGGTCAATGGGGGTGCATGAGCCAACCACTTTGGACACAAAAGCAGGGTTAGGCTTCAGCAACACTCTTGCTTGCCCCAGGGCAAACTGAGTGCATGACGGATGTACAGAGAGCGCATGAATGTCACTGACTCGCTTGGCGAATGCGAGAGCCAGCAACAACACTGTCTTCAGTGACAGGTGTTTCATGTCAACTTCTTCCAGGGTTCAAATGGAGGTCGAGTGAGCCCATCTAAAACCACTGCCAAGTCCCATGGGGGCACCAGTGACCTGGAAACAGGGAGGAGCCTGCGAGCCCCTTTCATAAAACGGCAGACCAAGGGATGTTGGCTAGCCGTCTTTCCCTCAAAACCAACATGGCATGCAGCAATAGCAGCCAGGTACACTTTAATCGTAGAGAAAGCTCTGTGTTTATCAATCAAGTCCTGCAGAAATGACAAAATCACACCGACAGGACATTGAAAAGAGACGTGTCCCTCTTGGAGGCACCACTCCTCAAACACTCTCCACTTACAGTCATAAAGAGACCTGGTGGAGGAAGCCCTTGCACTCTGAATAATGTTTATCACCTTCTGAGGAAGCCCACCTGTACTCAAATTATACCATAGTGCCAAGCGTTCCGGGTGTGGGTGAAAAATCGTCCCCCCTGCCTGAGACAGTATGTCCCTGCGTAACGGGAGCTGCCACGGCTGCCCGCACAGCAGCTGATATATCTCCGCCAGCCAATACATTGCAGGCCAGTGCGGAGCTATCAGGATCAGCGTGTGGCGATGCTCTCTCACTCTGGATCTGCATATAGTGGTGCACCTCTGGCCAACAGATCCGCTCCGAGGTTCATCACCCCCGGTACGTGCGTTGCTCTCAGAGAAAGGAGACGGCAGCAGCTCCATAGTATCAGTTTGCGTGCCAGCATGTGTAACTGAAAAGAACGCATGAGGAATACGCGGGGAGGCGCATCCCATAGTGAGACATCGAAACGAATGTTATGAATGAGAACAGTCTCTCATCTACCTTTAGGCAAGCAAATGCATAAGCGTAAAAAAAAAAAAAAGAAGCGTCTCAAAACATCAACACTTTTTTTTAAAGATTGCAATATTGAAAGAACTCATTTTACAACTTCAAGCTCAGATAAATTCAGTTTTGAATTTTGGGTTATTTGTTTACATTTTGTAATGATGGCGCCAATTTTCTTCTCAACTGTAGTATCAAAGCATTTTTAATTCACTGTTATGACTTGCACCTCTGACTGGCTTGTTCTACATAGCAACTATAACGTTTTGTATTGTAGTGTTTAGAGCGGTCAATCATGCCAAAGTACAGTATATGGATGTATCATATCAAAAAGTGTAATTCTTGTCTCCTGTAGCTGACACTTCTGCCTGAAAAATACATAGCCCATTATGAGGCCACCTATGGAAGAGTGGTGCTGTACTTCAATAAGGTAAGGTAAACTCTTTTGACATACACACATTTGACATTTCCAGTACTAAAAGATTTGTTCTTTCACTCTAGGTCCTTGAATCAAAGGAATGCATTAGCTTTGACGCTACACAGACCGTACTAATTGGCCTTCTACAGCCTGCTCCAGCTGTCTTCTATGATTATTATGAACCAAGTAAGCTATTTATTAGATTTGTTGCGAGGATAGAGGGGAAATCGTTGTTGAATTCACCAGGAATTTATGAATTATTTGTGCTTCACTTGCAGACAGACGGTGTACTGTGTTTTACTCTGCCCCCAAAAGAAGCACAATGATCTCCAAACTGTGTTCAGAGGATGTGTGCCAATGTGCAGAAAGTAGGCCACTTATCATACACCCATACTGATTAACAGCTAAATGAATGTTGTGATAATTATAAAAGTTTCATCATGTTCCTCTTTTCTTTAGGACCCTGTCATAAAATACAAAATACATTCCAAAGACGTCCAAGAATGTCAAAATATGTCCGTTTACAACATGCGTGCTTCTTTCCTGTAGTAGATTACGGTCAGTAATGCACCTAAGACAATTTGCAGTAATGAATATGATATAACCTGAACTTTAAATATCTGAAAACAAACTTTCATATAAAGTCACACTTTGTTTTATTCCAGCATACAACGTTGAAGTCTTAAATGTTACCATGAAGAGCAACTTTGAGCTGTACACAGTGAATGTAACGGATATACTCAGATCACGTGAGTAAACTGTAACCATAAGCTTAAGTAGATGCTGTAACGTTGACTATTACATTTTTATGGTGGAAACACTGTTCATAAATGTTATGATAATTGTCTACCAGATGGAGATATCCTTGTGAGCGAGAATTCTGTCCGAGTGTTTGCTAAGAGGTTACACTGTAAAGGACAATTGGACTTGGGAAAACAGTATCTCATCATGGGCAAAGATGGCGCCACAACTGACTCAAACGGAAAGTAAGTCAAGTCAATAATATAAATTAAAGGAACAATTTAACAATGATTGATTCTCATTCTGTTCACTCCCTCTCATAAAGGATGCAGTACCTGCTGGAGTCAAACACTTGGGTTGAAAGAAAGCCTTCGAAGGACACATGCAAAAAATCGGCATATAGATCTGCCTGCACAGAGTTGGATAGCTTTACAGAGGAGTACAAGATAGATGGCTGCAGACAGTAAAACACACAACTCCTTTTCATTTAACATTGTATGTTCTCTGTATGTACCTCTTGGCCAGGTCAGCATTGAAAATGAGATTTTATCTCAATGCTTTTATCTGGTTAAATAAAGGTTAAATAAAAAAAATGTTAAAGAGTCATGAAAGCATTTAACCTAAACTCCTAAAGAGGCATTGTTGCTAGCCAACAAAAAAAGAGTGACTCAGCCCACAGTATAATTGTATAGTTTACTACTGACAATGTAACCAATTAATCGTGTCTTTATAACTAATATAGCTACCAGTGTTTTAAACATATATATAATAAAAACACCATGTTGTAATTGAAAACGTCTTTGTATGTGAATTATTGGTTGGGGCATAAACTAGATGCATACATGTTAGATAATTATTTGAAACAGAACTCAAGATTGAAGCCGAAAACATTTGTGCTTTCATGTCTGTCCAGATAGTCTGATTCAGTTTAGTGAACTGGCTCTATTTAACTTTTCTGCTGAATATATTTATTTTCTTATGTTTTTTTTTCACTTACTGGCAGTAAAAGATCTGAGAGGGTTCTCTGTACTCAACCCAACCCCCCTCAAAGTTACCCACCTCCTTACTTAACATCTGCAAGGTAAGGGTGAAGGGGAGTGGTTTGAGGGTTAGCACATAAAGTGGAATATAAGTCTGTACATAAAACTGTCTCGCTTGCTCCCAGCGGAGAAACATAGTGACAGGATTAGGATCAATCATCACATCGTAATGATAACAACTCTGTATCTCAAGAAAAGTCCCCTTTCTTAAATGTGCTCCACTTAGCAAACATGCAGCTGAAGACTCTCAGTGCAATTATTTAAAACACGTTGCACTTGATGCAGAAAGCGGTAATTGGAGAAAACAAGGAGTGTTGGGAGGGAGCCGTGCAGCGGGAGAAAGAGGGAGGCATGGGTGGAGAGGCGAGGAACAAGCAAGGGCTTATGTGCTTATATTATTTTAATCTCTGAGGCCGGGTCCAATGTAAGCAACACAGGAGTACTGACCATCACTTCAATCACAGCCAGATCAATGCCTGCACTGTTTCAGCCGTTGCCATTAGACATTTCATTACATTTGAACCAATAAAGGGTAAATAAATAGGCAGACTTTAGCATCTCACATTTTCATTTTGGAATTACTTTAGTGCACCGTCAGTGGCCAACAGCAACAGCGCATTTGAAAAAGTGCTCTTCTTTTTACTGTGGGCTTCCTCAGGTAATCAATGGCTTGTCGTGACTAAGCAATGTAGACTTGTGCTCACAATTAGAGTCACATGTAATCAGCAATAGTAGTATTAGATATAGTTCTTGCACAGACTGTTGCATCAAAATATAGCACAAAGGTTCTCTCATCAAAGACAGACAGTGGAGGTTGACAGATTTGTAATTTTGTTTTATAAATATAATTGTATTGTTGCATCCATGGATTGCCAAAAGAGTTTGACTATAATACACATAATTCATTGGTACACGCTCAGCTAATCTGACACACCAAATGCGCTGGAGCATCAACTGTGAAACTGCCCGGGGAATTGAGAAATGTGCCACCAGGTGTGCTAGGTGTGCAGTAGCTTTAGTTGTTGAAGGTGTGGGCCCAGCCATTTTTTCCAAAGGCCATCACAGGGTCAGCGGTTTAAGGGTGGTCTATGGTGCAGAAAGGAGTACAGTGAAGGCGGGGCCCTTCCTGGAGGTTGCCAGCAGATGGAGGCACGGATGGAGAGGGACCACCCACTCAGGAGTCCACACTACATTGCCAATTCATCTTTTTCATCTCAATATCAAGGTGACTTGGTTTCTTTTTTGGATAGCTCCTTTTCTCAGAAGACATTTTGACATGTCACAGTTGGAAAAGCACAGATGCAAATTATAAGATGTATTGCTGGCTGAAGGCCATTTAGCTGCTTCAGCTTAAGGGTCCTGCTTTTCTGTAAGCTGGCTCACATTGACATGACGGGGGACACTTGAAAAGAACATTGTTACTGTTATTAATAACAAAAACGCTTTTTCTACGATGCAAGTGTCTGAAGTAAAAACAGGCCTCATGGTGCGAAATTAAAATGAACAGATAAAGCACATGTCACGATGAAGGGATATGTCTTTCAATTCAATTCTTTATCTTCGACCCCTTCCATAAAGTCAGAAGTGCATCATGTTATTCTACCAGTATGGCTTCATCTTTTCACCTCTCTTCTCTAATTGCATCACATCACTATTCATTTTTAAAGCCAGCATAAAGTAGCATAATGTGTTGCATCAATTATTTGAAAGTTGATATGGAAATGTCATATCAACTTTATTCAGTAATATATTGTCTGTTACATTGCAATGCTGAAGTTATGCACTGTAAGTATGTTTTCTTGCAGTATCAGAACATGATGTACATGCCAAGAAAAGCATGTTATCTCAGCACATTTGAAACTAAAATATCTAGAGGCAAATATGTTTTGCTGTGAGGCTTCTTGTATACCCACACTGTAACATATATAGAATCATTACATGTAACCGCAACAGAATATGAGAGCTGTTTTCTTTGCATTGGCCAGAGTCTTAAAACTGTCATTCAAAAATGGTTTTGTGTGCTCACTGTCTCATGTAAAGGATCTCTTTGTGCAGAGTGGCTCTTTTAAAAGTGTCATATTATTGTAAATATTACATTATCACTAACAATGGGTATCTACAATAGTCAAACAATAGTTGTGGAATAAAAAGTACTATTTTCTCTTGGAAATGTGGAGTAGATGTTTAACGTTGCATCAAATGGTAAAGTACAAGTTCCTTAACATTATACTTAAGTACAAATCTTAAGTGAATATACTAAGTTACTTTCTACCACCGAGACTGTGTGTGACCATCACATACTTTGTAGCATCTACAATGTATTTATCTCAGGTGAATTCATAACAACATTTTCATGAAATAAGAGATCAAGTTGCTGCAAATTATGTTATTTTAGTTACCAGACAAGGTTTTAATTCAATATTATAAATGTTTATAAGAGCAATCAATAGTTAACCTAAAGAGGTTTTTTGAAAACAACTGAATACTGATCGATGTTAGTGTATCTACATTATCTTTAGATATATAAAAACCTTGAATAATATACACTTTTGTTTTTGCTCTCCTGTAAAGTTAGGAAAAGGTCACTTGTGCCCTTCTTCTCTAGACCCTTCAGTGATTTGTCTTCATGTGGCTTACAAAAGGTAGGATAGTGGGTGGCCATTGGTCATAGATTCATAGCCTTCACAGAGCATTCGTTAAATCTGGTGGATACTTGTTTCACTTACATAACTCCCACGTAGTTACATCTCATTACTTCCAACAAACAGCCAATTCATATAGCGAGAGGTTCCTGTCCCCCAGAGTCCGCACTGAATACCTGCAGTGTTATGCTATGTATTCCAGCTGAATCATGATTCTCAGACCACGGCTTTATTCAATCAAAGCTGTGTCTAGGTGTTAGCAATGTCTGGGATAAGTCAAGTTACATACGGCAGACACTGGAATAACTGTCATCGGCCATACAAACCTGAACATGCAGGCTATTTTTGTGTTAGAGTACATGAAAGAAGACAAACAAATGCCTTGGTATGTGCTGAGAGTGGGTTTGAGAGAAAAACGTTCTGTACGTTCACTAAAAGTCTGATAACATTATATCGGAATCAGAATACCTTTATTAGTCCCACAGAGGGGACATTTACGTTGTTACAGCACAGGAAGCGTAATGTTACATATGTTACATATGTTACATGCATTCAAAAGTATTAAAGTAAAAAAAAAGTTATGATATAATAAAAAATATAATAAAAAGTTACACAATTTACAAAATACATGTTGGAAAATATGTTGGATTACACACAAAAAGTTGAAGTGTATGTGATGTATTATTTATGTGTTCATCAACAATTCTTGGATCATTCTATCAGAAGAAGTTAAAATGTTAAATCTACCAGCAAGCAAAAACTAAATACAAGAGAGTATTTGATCATTGTTAATATTCATATTTGTGTAAAAAAGCAACTCTTTTTAAAGTCCAATACAAATATTTGTCATAGTGGTTGAGAAAGTGGGACCACTAGGCGTGGAGGAAGAGGAGGGGGTCCTTAAGTAGGAGCAGACTTTATCACTCTCCTCCTTTCTATAGTGGTGGTACTTTCTCTCACCTTTTTCCTCCCTGATCATAACCAGCAAGTCTGTGTGAGCTTTTACATTCAGATGGAGGGAGCAACATAAAGACCGAGATAAAGCCCAAGAAACATCAATATTCTGGTAAGTTCCTTATTCATTATAATATTAGAGTTGAACATCATTTTCAGTGTTATATTTGTTGGAAACAGTCATGTTGTTTAATACCGTGTTTCAGCTGCTAACAAGACCTTCTGCACTAATTGCATTGGGTGATATGATGTTAGTCTTAGTGCAAGATGATGTGGAGTTGTTATTCCTTCTGTCTTTTACCTTAAGCTTTCTTCATTATATCAAGATTAATACTGTGATAATATAACAATTTATATTTCGTGAATGAAAAGGGGCTATTCATTCATTTGATACCGCAGCCAATTAGGCAGTTTATCTGTGCACCAAGGAAACATTTCAAAAATGTTCTTGCTATATGGCACAACATCTAACTTGTTTACTTAAAACATGATTTATTTGACTTTCTGCTGTTTTAAAGCCAAAGCTGGACATATTTCTCTCTGTGGTTTTATGAGTCGTTGGTTCGGTGGATTATGTAACCTTCTGTATAGTGAAAGACTTACAGTGTCCCACAGTCCTATACAGTGCTGCTCTGTTACCTCTGCAAAGTCTCCCCAGCAGAGACCCCCAGCTCAAGTCCCCTTCTTCCTTCCTGTTTAAAATCAGCTCATTTAGATTTATACTCAGTTTGACAAGCCAATAAATTAAGTATTTGCTGATTAAACACTGCTACAATTTTTTAGGTTTATTTATTTTGTCTTGTGTATAAGTAGACACAGTTTAGAAAAAAATGTATATTTATATTAGTTTTTATGAACTCAATATATTTTCTCGTGATGCTTACTGGTTCTAATGTCTTGCACTGGTGCTCAGAGAAAATTGGATTAGGATTGTTCAATAAACAATGTCACATAAAAGAAACATTATGTTTAGTGAGATGCACAACTGCATTTTAGAATTATTTGTTGTGCTTTTATTTTTGACAAGATAACCTTTCACAAAGACTGAAAACTTGCCAAAATGTGTTTCTTGGTCCAAATAAGAAATTATGTAATAATGTCACTCGCTCTATCAATCAATCAATCAATGTTTATTTATACAGCCCAATATCACAAATGT